ACACAAAGACAGCAAATCACAGACACACACACAACAACAACCGCGATTCGCCACTAAGTGGCGGTGACGTCACCACGACGCTTGTGCCAGGCCATGTGCACCTTGAGGCCACGTGAAGTGTCGAACGCCCGCTGGCAGGAGGTCACGGGGAAGACCCAGGTGCCACGGGTCGACTGACTGAGATGACTGGCTGATGCACCATCTGTGTTCCCTACTGTGCCAACTTGCTGTGCTTTAGCCACCCGGCGCTCCGCTCGTTGTTGTGAGCGTCGCTCCAACTGCCCAGCAGCAGCGTCCTTCACGAGCCTGCTCCAATGAGGCCGATCTTGACACCGCTGGTACCAGTCATCGGCAAGTCTACTCAGCTACACGTCCTCCTGTACCGCATCACTCCATATCTTCTCTAGCCCGTGCCGCGCCCGTTTAGCCCCCTCGATCCGGCCGAACAAAAGCTGTTTGGGCATGCGGTAGCTGGGCATCGGTGAGCTCCTCCTTGCCTGCCGGAGGAGCTCACCGATGGGACTTTTTCCAGATCTTTCCCGGATTTGTGAGCTCATCACACAATCCAGCCTGGTTAAACCCAGGATGGATCGTAGGCAGGCCAGCCTAAATGTTTCCAATCTGCGAAGATGCTCCATTAGGGGGGTCCACGTTTCGCAAGCGTATAGAAGGGATGAAATGACCGTGGTTGAGAAGACTTGAAGCTTCGTGCGGAGCGACAGACCAGGTAGCTTCCACACAGTGTTACGCAACCGATGAAAAGATAATGCCGCTCGACTGATTCTGAGTGAGACCTCTGCTGTCAAACCGGAGCCAGTCATGAGCACACTGCCCAGGTATGGGAAACTCTCCACTCTCTCCACAACTGCCCCATCACCGATTGGGAGTTGTGGGGGTGGAGTGCCCGATAGTACAAAATACTCAGGCAGGTGCTTAGTTTTGGTGGGGCTGATGGTAAGGCCCCACCTCTTAGTGGCACGTTCCAGGTTCAGCAGCAGTGCCTCCAAATCCTCCTCTGAGTGAACAGCAATTACCAGATCATCGGCATACATAACATGGTTGACCAATAGGGAAGCCATCCCTTGACCGCACCCGGGCATCGATCAGCCTCCCATTGTATCTGTACCAGATGGAAATTCCTCTGGTACAGCCATCAAAGGCTTCACGGACTACGTGGTCGAAAAAGATGTTAAATAATGTGGGAGCCAGAGGACATCCCTGTCGCACCCCAAGGTGAACAGGGAATGACTCCGACTCCACGTAGTTTTACCCGGGCCCGCTCACCACCATGAAGGTCCTTAATTATCGTGAGCAGAGGGTCAGGGACTACGAAAGCACGAAGAACAACCCAGAGCCCAGGCCTACTGATGGTATCATAGGCCTTGACCAGGTCAATAAAGCAGAGATGTAGGTCTTGTTGGAATTCCCTACACCTCTGCTGCAGCAAACGGACAGAGAATATGGCATCTGTGCAGGACCGCCCTTTCCTGAAACCACATTGGGGCTCCGCAAGCCTCTCCTCAGCGTGCATGGCAAGGCGATGTTGAACAATCCTTGCCAGGACCTTTCCCGGCACACTGAGGAGTGAGATGCCCCTGTAGTTGTTACAGTCTGTGCGGTCCCCCTTCATAAAGAGGGGGACCACAAGGGCATCCTTCCAGATTGGATCACCGTTTTTCCCCTAATGATGGTTAGAGGTGTGGCGCTGCAGGTTACTTTTTTGGTGGAGTTAAATAGGGATTTGTGATCGTGGGCCATTGAGGCAGACTCCATCTCCTCAGCAACCCGCGAACACCACCCATCCTTGCAGAGCCTCACGGCTCTCCGAACCTCCGAGCGAAGGCTGCGGTAAGCTTCCTCATTCTCTGACGTGGGATGCTGTAGACAATTATAGTGGGCCTGTCGCTTTTTCTCAACCATCCTGAACACCTCTGTCAGCCAGGGTCTCTGGGGAGGTCTGGACCGCGTACCCAAAGCAGCCATTGCAGCTGCATGAGTCACAGTCCTACATCAGGAGGAGTGGGGGACGATGCCAACCCCAGCCGCAAGCGATGATTAAATTACACTTGCAACTTTCATCAGCTAGCTGAGACCAGGCCACCTTAGGTTGGAATTGGGTCCTGGGTGTACACCCACCACCGGAGTGGAAGAATGGCAGGTGCATCTTACAGATGACAAGTCGATGGTCAGAGGGCAGATCAGCTCTACGGTAGGTCCTGGTGTCAAGGACATGGGCTCGCATCCGCTGTTCCGTCATTATGTAGTCCAGCAGATGTTCTTACTTGGACCCGGCATGCATCCATGATGTTGTGTGGATGCGCCGATGCCGGAACAGGATATGCACAGACACACACATTGAAAAATTCAAGACAAAGCCACACACACACAGAGAGACCTTGGCCTTGCTGTGGGGGGTGGGGTGATTGATCATCAGGTAAGAAGACGGCAAGAGAGTGAACAATGCAAGTGATGGAAGGGGGTGGTTGGGGGGGTTTAAAGACTTTCGGCTGTTTGCTAAACGTCTCACGCTCAACGCCGCACCAATCTGGGCACACGGAACCATCCGTTGAGCATTTGTAATGACAATTTAGTGTCATTTTGTAACGACAACTTAGTGTCATTTTGTAACGACAACTTAGTGTCATTTTGTAACGACAGTTTAGTGACATTTTGTAACGACAATTTAGTGTCATTTTGTAACGACAATTTAGTGTCATTTTGTAACAATTTAGTGTCATTTTGTAACGACAGTTTAGTGCCATTTTGTAACGACACTTTAGTGTCATTTTGTAACAATTTAGTGTCATTTTGTAACGACAGTTTAGTGTCATTTTGTAACGACAACTTAGTGTCATTTTGTAACGACAGTTTAGTGACATTTTGTAACGACAATTTAGTGTCATTTTGTAACGACAATTTAGTGTCATTTTGTAACAATTTAGTGTCATTTTGTAACGACAGTTTAGTGTCATTTTGTAACAATTTAGTGTCATTTTGTAACGACAGTTTAGTGTCATTTTGTAACGACAACTTAGTGTCATTTTGTAACGACAGTTTAGTGACATTTTGTAACGACAATTTAGTGTCATTTTGTAACGACAATTTAGTGTCATTTTGTAACAATTTAGTGTCATTTTGTAACGACAGTTTAGTGCCATTTTGTAACGACACTTTAGTGTCATTTTGTAACGACAATTTAGTGTCATTTTGTAACGACAATTTAGTGTCATTTTGTAACGACAATTCAGTGTCATTTTGTAACGACAATTTAGTGTCATTTTGTAACGACAATTTAGTGTCATTTTGTAACGACAGTTTAGTGTCATTTTGTAACGACAATTTAGTGACATTTTGTAACGACAGTTCAGTGTCATTTTGTAACGACAATTTAGTGTCATTTTGTAACGACAATTTAGTGTCATTTTGTAACGACAATTTAGTGTCATTTTGTAACGACAATTTAGTGTCATTTTGTAACGACAATTTAGTGTCATTTTGTAACGACAATTTAGTGCCATTTTGTAACGACAATTTAGTGTCATTTTGTAACGACAGTTTAGTGTCATTTTGTAACGACAATTTAGTGTCATTTTGTAACGACAATTTAGTGTCATTTTGTAACGACAATTTAGTGTCAATTTGTAACGACAATTTAGTGTCAATTTGTAACGACAATTTAGTGTCATTTTGTAACGACAATTTAGTGTCATTTTGTAACAATTTAGTGTCATTTTGTAACGACAGTTTAGTGCCATTTTGTAACGACACTTTAGTGTCATTTTGTAACGACAATTTAGTGTCATTTTGTAACGACAATTTAGTGTCATTTTGTAACGACAATTCAGTGTCATTTTGTAACGACAATTTAGTGTCATTTTGTAACGACAATTTAGTGTCATTTTGTAACGACAGTTTAGTGTCATTTTGTAACGACAATTTAGTGACATTTTGTAACGACAGTTCAGTGTCATTTTGTAACGACAATTTAGTGTCATTTTATAACGACAGTTTAGTGTCATTTTGTAACGACAATTTAGTGTCAATTTGTAACGACAATTTAGTGTCATTTTGTAACGACAATTTAGTGTCATTTTGTAACGACAATTTAGTGTAATTTTGTAACGACAATTTAGTGTCATTTTGTAACGACAATTTAGTGTCATTTTGTAACGACAATTTAGTGTCATTTTGTAACGACAATTTAGTGCCATTTTGTAACGACAATTTAGTGTCATTTTGTAACGACAGTTTAGTGTCATTTTGTAACGACAATTTAGTGTCATTTTGTAACGACAATTTAGTGTCATTTTGTAACGACAATTTAGTGTCAATTTGTAACGACAATTTAGTGTCAATTTGTAACGACAATTTAGTGTCATTTTGTAACGACAATTTAGTGTCATTTTGTAACGACAATTTAGTGTCATTTTGTAACGACAATTTAGTGTCATTTTGTAACGACAATTTAGTGTCATTTTGTAACGACAATTTAGTGACATTTTGTAACGACAATTTAGTGACATTTTGTAACGACAATTTAGTGTCATTTTGTAACGACAATTTAGTGTCATTTTGTAACGACAATTTAGTGACATTTTGTAACGACAATTTAGTGTCATTTTGTAACGACAATTTAGTGACATTTTGTAACGACAATTTAGTGTCATTTTGTAACGACAATTTAGTGTCATTTTGTAACGACAATTTAGTGTCAATTTGTAACGACAATTTAGTGTCATTTTGTAACGACAATTTAGTGTCATTTTGTAACGACAATTTAGTGTCATTTTGTAACGACAATTTAGTGTCATTTTGTAACGACAGTTTAGTGTCATTTTGTAACGACAATTTAGTGACATTTTGTAACGACAATGTAGTGTCATTTTGTAACGACAATTTAGTGTCATTTTGTAACGACAATTTAGTGTAATTTTGTAACGACAATTTAGTGTCATTTTGTAACAACAATTTAGTGTCATTAAAAAAAACGGGGGGGGGGGGGGGGGGGGGAGGGGACCCAGCGCGTTTGTGTTGGAGGCAGAAGAGACCGGGTGACGACTGCTCAAGAACAAGAGACGAAGCAGCAGCAGCAATCCACGAAGAAGCCCGCGACGAAGACGAAGCAGCCTCCTGCAGCACAGAAGCACACGGGCGCTGTCGCAGAGAAGCATCAGCAGCAGGGCAAGCGAGCTCACGGTATACCGACCCGACCCGTGTGTGTGTGTGTGTGGTTCTTTCTTTATAAATGCATCTCGTTTTAATGCGGGCACGACGAGATTGAAGTGAGAAGAATATAACCGGCACGTCTGTGGTTTTTTTTTATTTAAAACCCCCCCATTGTAACGGTGTCGTCGGTAATAGGGCGGCACAAGGTGGTACGTATGGCATTGTGTGACGGTACATTTATTGTAACAACATTACGCATCATCATCATGTTGTGTGTGTGATGCTAGCACGGTGGTGGGGCGTGTCGGCTCGTATCGTACGTGGTACAGCCGCTTCGTAAATCTGTAAACGGGAGTGCAATTTACACACTTGCCGTACTTCGCGTTTAAGCTCTTTGTTATTGACGATAAGTAATAATAATGTACTAATGATGTAGAATAGATGGAGGGCCTTGCCCTGGTCTAGGCCTCTCGTACACTTGCCTTGAACGCGTTCACTCTGCGTTATGCACAACGCTTGTGAGCGTGTGATTATTGTACACTGTGCACACACGGCACTGTGTGAAGATGTATGTGTGTGTTTGTGTGTGTGTGTGTTTGTGTGTGTGTTTGTGAGTGTGTGTTTGTGTGTCGTCTTATACGTGGAGTTTGTCACGCTTCGTGTTGTGTAAACTCCCTCGCATGAGGTACAGTGCGTTGGACAGCAGCCGTACACATGGCAGCAGTTAATCTGTGTGTGTGTTGTTTGTGTGTGTTGTGTGTGTGTGTTGTGTGTGTGTGTGTGTTGTATCGGTGTGTGTGTTGTAGCTGTGTGTGGGTGTTGTATCGCTGTGTTCTGTGTGTAGCTGTGTGTTGTATCGGTATGTTGTGTGTGGGTGTTGTATCGTTGTGTTCTGTGTGTAGCTGTGTGTTGTATCGGTGTGTTGTGTGTGTGTTGTATCTGTGTGTTGTGTGTGTGTGTTGTATCTGTGTGTTGTGTGTGTGTGTTGTATCGGTGTGTTGTGTGTGTGTGTTGTATCTGTGTGTTGTGTGTGTGTGTGTTGTATCGGTGTGTTGTGTGTGTGTGTGTGTTGTATCTGTGTTGTGTGTGTGTGTGTTGTATCTGTGTGTTGTGTGTGTGTGTTGTATCTGTGTGTTGTGTGTGTGTGTTGTATCTGTGTGTTGTGTGTGTGTGTGTTGTATCTGTGTGTTGTGTGTGTGTGTGTTGTATCTGTGTGTTGTGTGTGTGTGTTGTATCTGTGTGTTGTGTGTGTGTGTTGTATCTGTGTGTTGTATGTGTGTGTGTTGTATCTGTGTGTTGTGTGTGTGTGTTGTATCTGTGTGTTGTGTGTGTGTGTTGTATCTGTGTGTTGTGTGTGTGTGTGTTGTATCTGTGTGTTGTGTCTGTGTGTGTTGTATCTGTGTGTTGTGTCTGTGTGTGTTGTATCTGTGTGTTGTGTCTGTGTGTGTTGTATCTGTGTGTTGTGTCTGTGTGTGTTGTATCTGTGTGTTGTGTGTGTGTGTGTTGTATCTGTGTGTTGTGTGTGTGTGTGTTGTATCTGTGTGTTGTGTGTGTGTGTTGTATCTGTGTGTTGTGTGTGTGTGTGTTGTATCTGTGTGTTGTGTGTGTGTGTTGTATCTGTGTGTTGTGTGTGTGTGTGTTGTATCTGTGTGTTGTGTGTGTGTGTTGTATCTGTGTGTTGTGTGTGTGTGTTGTATCTGTGTGTTGTGTGTGTGTTGTGTGTTGTATCTGTGTGTGTGTGTGTTGTATCTGTGTGTTGTGTGTGTGTTGTATCTGTGTGTTGTGTCTGTGTGTGTTGTATCTGTGTGTTGTGTGTGTGTGTTGTATCTGTGTGTGTGTGTGTGTTGTATCTGTGTGTGTGTGTGGTGTTGTATCTGTGTGTGTGTGTGTGTGTATCTGTGTGTTGTGTGTGTGTTGTGTGTTGTATCTGTGTGTGTGTGTTGTATCAGTGTGTTGTGTTGTATCGGGGTGTTCTGTGTGTGTGTGTTGTATCGGCGTGTTCTGTATTTTAAACAACGCTATAACCCCCACGACGACCGACACTGCAGGGGAAAGCCTTCATCCAGCAGTAGATTGATCAGGGCTTCTTGTTGATAACCTAATAGACGCTGTACAGTCTTTGCATATTTTACAGGCAAATATTCAATCAGGCACACGTGCTGAATCTGACACATGCTATCGTGTGCTCTGTTATTAGCTTACAGTGACGTTACTAATGTTGCTGAAAGCTTATTACCATCAGTAATCATTTAAATTATACATGCTGTCACTGGCTGGGGTCAGCTGATATTTAAGGCTCCCTTTGAGCAAATCTCAATACAGCAAGTGGTGTGAATAAGAAGCATTTTTTTGGTTTATATTTTTAAAAAGCCTACAGTGAAATTAACTTGAATCACCATTGGAACCTCATTTGCCAGTAAAAATATGATAATTGTTTTTTTACCCTTCTATCTGGCAACAAAAGTGACACCTTTTTTACAAGGAGTCATGTTTGCATAGACCACAATACCTGCAGCCATGACTCCTTGTAAAAAAGGTGTCAGTTTTGTTGCCAGATAGAAGGGTAAAAAAACTAGCTTGAATCAGTTATTTAGAAATCCTTACCCAGGGAAGACTTGCCATGTCTTGAGGACTGTTTAAGGGAGTTATGGTTGAGATGTTCTATGATTCTTAATGCTCGTGGGAAAACAGAATATTTAAGGCTCTAGCCAAAGCCTACTGAATCATACATACAAATTTAAATGCCAATTCTAAGTCTAAACACGTCGGCTTTCACGACCGATATCCATAATATAGGTTTTTTGGGTTATATCGTGTAAACATAAACGTGTCATTAAACCTGCCACCACCAATTATTGCTCTCCAACACACCTGCGTGCTGAACTAGTCACGAATTGGCACGTTTTGTTAACGTGCCAAACCTTACTAATTGGCTGTGTCGGGTGGTGGTGGGTTTAACGACACATTTATATTTACGTGATCTAAGCCAAAAAAAAACCTCTTGTGGATCTAAGTCTAAAACTTGTAATAACGAGATGTAATGTGCAGTCATTTGTCAAGCCACTGCTGGATGTGAAAGCCTCCCTACTAAACTACTAAACTATTCAAAAATCAATCCTTAATTTCTTAGCTTGTGAAACATTATACTCGACTCGGCTTTGCTGTGATTTTAAAGGGGACCGATTGGGAGGCTAGGACCAACCGTTTTGGTTGTTTAAACTCACCTGAGCTTAAGTTTAATTTCTCAGAGCCATTACGGATGTTGTGATTTTGTGTTGTTTGGGGGTGAAGGCTGCTGCGTGTTTAACCCTCTGGTCTCCTGCCAGTGATGCCAGCAACTCATCACAGCGACCTCAAAGTTGCACGTTGCCTGCTACGAATCGCTGTGATGATGTCGCCATCACTTCATGGCGAATAGCAGCGACAGCTGTTGTTGTGTTGTTCAGTTACGCGTCGAGGAAGGAGGCACCCACTTCCAGGCCATCGGTATCATACTAGTAGGAACGTCTGGTTACACCAGCCCACAGGGGATTATTGTGTCCGTCCGTCCGTCGTGCAGGGAGGGGCTGGGTGGGGAGGGTGGGGCTGTGTGGGGGCTGGGTGGGGAGGGGAGAGTGGGGAGGGGCTGGGTGGGAAGGGTGGGTGGGGGCTGGGTGGGGAGGGTGGGGGCTGTGTGGGGGCTGGGTGGGGAGGGTGGGGAGGGGCTGGGTGGGGAGGGGCTGGTCACCCCGTAATGCCCTTATAAAACTCAACGTTTAACCTACTCACGCCGGCTTGTGCCCGCCCTCACAGTCGGGCATATTTGCGGAATACACCACGCTGCCGTTGACCCTGGCCATTGGCCGAGCAACCCAACGTTCATACCAGCTCCCTCCGCAGCAGGAATGTGTTTATATCGGTATTATCTGGCGCTCTACCAGGACATTTGACTCTTTCATGCGAAACGAAATAATATCGACTGCGCTGGGTGAGTGACGCAGCAGCTGTCAATATAGTGAGGGCACGGACAAAGCTCCGCATTTCATGGAGTCTAAGGGGCCGTCCATAAATGACGTCACGCACCTAGGGAGGGGGGGGTCAGACATTTGTGACGATGTGTGACGAGGTGGTGGGGGTTTGAGAAATGTGACGTCACATCAAAATGCGCAACTTTAAATAAATATAGACAACACGTTCTCCTTAATTAAATAGACTTTTTAATGTTTTCTACAACATCAGAGTGCAGCGACAACATTAAATACGCACTACAATGGCAATAGTTTAAAGCCATTTGAAGCATGTTTTATTTTTTTTGGAGCTTTGTGACGTCATATTTGAGGGGGGGGGGTCTGACTTTTTGTAACGCCGTGTGATGAGTTGGTGGGGGGGTCAGAAATCGTCCTAAATCGCGTGACGTCATTTATGGACGACCCCTAAGGCCCCCACTCAAGCGTGACCAAACTTCTAAGTCAGTGTTGGATGGTCCACATGACTTGTGGTGGAAACTCGTCCATCTGTCGGACAATCATTGTTGGCTTTCTACAAAGTTTATTGTTGTCAGCCTATAACTTCACAATCATGGGCAAAGACCTCCCGCTATTTTCTTTCATTTTGTTATGCGTTCTTGTTCAGTAGTGGCCCATGAATTATTTAATTTAATCTCATCCTCTTTCTGCTGTCCTCTGCTTCTTTTGCCTCTTTTGGGTATCCACTCGGTCATTAGTATTGTCCGTCTATCATCAGTTATACCCATGATGTGGCTTTAGCTTATTTGGCTCACCATAGATGGATGTGGATGATGAGTACAGCCTTGGCAGGATTTGAACTCCATGTTGTTCCAATTAGGAGGATATCTGCTCCATCAATTGAGCTATCTTGGCCTTGTTTGTGATAAATATACAGAATGGTACCTTCATGCAGCAAATACCGTAATAATAAAATAGATTTACAGCCCGAAGTAAATGTGCTGCTGGATGATGGCCTCTCCATGCTGTGCCATTCATGTGATTGTTAGCTGTGGTCGATTATTATCGAACACAGGTCACCGGGTT